TTACTTTCCTACCCACCTTAACCTTATGTGGTTTCCCGTTGTCATGCGTAAAATGATTTTCATAGCAATTGTTCTGATGATGTCTTTTCCATAGGGACTCGACTACATGAATTTAAGCTATTAGATTGGCGGTTAGGTCTCGCTGGTTTAATATTGGACTAGCTAGATGAAACTGGCCTTTCTATTCTAATAGTTTCTTTTCTCACAGTTCTCACCTATCGAACTCCATAAATCAGATCTTAAAAGTGATGTGAAATATGAGGAGAGCTAGTATTTTGTGGGTGGGACTAAAGAAGATGATAAAAGTGGGTGGGGCTAAATCAGATGTGAAAAGTGGGTGGGAATTAGCTAAATTACTATCCTTTACAGCATCCGCACATCTAAGCTACACAGCAACTGGTATTGGCGAACGGTCACCCACAGAGGTACTTACCTTATTAAGAAAAGGAAAACTCTGAATTCCTACCAGACTGGATAGGGTTGGCCTCCGTTAGTCTATCTTGCCCAAGATACACCATTACTACTGCGGCTGCATTACATGTGACGCCCTTATGACCTAGGGGACACGTGACGTGAATATCATTTCATGAGTTGAATAAATAGTCAACCTGGATTCTTTAAAACTTAAGTTAAGACTACTTCTTACTGGCACCAGTTCAAACACGGATAAAATTCAGGATTTAGGACAATAATTTTTTAAAAATCGGCATAGTCTGCTTTCATTTTGACATCTGGCAATGCACAATCTTATTAGGTTGATTTTCATTTGGCTTTTTATGCTTAATAACGTTAGAATAATCATGTTAAGAGCATATATACGTTGTGGCTTGATTTAAGAGAGATAGAAAAAAATGCTCCAGTGTTAGGAATAGAAAGGTAAAGAGATTAAGAGACTAAGAAAGGAAATGTCACGTCATTACATTTTTTTTAGACTATGATGGCTTCGCTGATGAGTTGATGCACGCGAAATGACGGCTACTGTATGAAATGCGTTTGATCTTTGGGACTTAGTCTAACCTTCTTCCATGGAAAAGAATTTTCTTGAATGGACATGATTTGTTGGCAAAGCACTAGCAGATAAAAAAAAAAAAAACAGAAAGAAAAAAAGAAAGAAATTGAAAAAAAAAAATGATGCTCACATATGAATGCGCTCATTCTGTGACTGACCATTCAAACTTTTGTCTTCCGCAAGTGACCTAGAATGTCGACACTGACTTCTAATGACAGAAAGAAAACAAGAGAAAAAAGAAAAGAAAAATTCTACTGCCAGCCTCTTTCCAAATTCTCAAAATGACTTCAGTATCTTGTATCTTACCACTCTATCCAGCATTGTACCCTTCCTTTTTCCTTTTCTATAGACAGTATGGACATAGGAATCAATACTGCATGGTGAGTGTCAGTTTCACGCCTTAATACTCTCGTCAGAATGTCTATATCTCTAAATACTTCTGAAAATTTATTTCGGTTGAGGAAGTGTGAGTTTGCAAACAGTGACTATTACGGCTAATAATACAAGACTCTTCGGTAAATCGAATCGAGTTCTCTCACTCACTGTGTGTTTATCTAAAAATAAATACGCTTAAATTCACCTTCATCACTGACGTGCGCCAACGTCTTAGTGCTAGAATCCACGACTGACGCTAATTCAGTCGGGTTTCGATCCTAGGTAGAGGCAACCGGATGTCTAACCACATTGATGAGCTGTGAAACAGTCTGTGGATGAATATATATATATATATATATATATATATATATTCGAAAATTATAAAAAATTATAGCATAAATATGTTATAAAATCACTACAGAAATAGCCCTTTTGTTTCAACTCTTCTAGTGTCATATCAAGTGATGGTATTGAATATAGAAACATTAAAGAACATTCCCACCACAAACAAACGAGATTATTTCGTCCATTAAGAATAGTATTTTTTAGTTTTTGGAATTTATTCCGTATACATCAATTTTATATATATATATATATATATATATATATATATATATATATATATATATATATATTTTAAATTATGCCATATATTTATGGGTTAATTTTCTCATTGTAGTTAACACCCAGAGGCTGCAGTCTGTTTCATGCGAAATGCAATTTCAGGACACACACACACACACATATTAATAAATATAGATATTAACTCTCACCGATAGCACGACTCGGAGTTTCATGCGCAACACAATCTTCAGGTGCATGTAATCTTTTGTTGTGCATAAAATCTCGAGTCCTGCCATCGCTGAGAAATAATATGTATATTTATTAATATATAATTGTCTATAAAAATATTTTATACAAAAATATTTTTGGTGTTGTAAAGCCTGAGTTCACTGAAGTGTAAAACCGAGCAAAGTAGACAAAATCACGCGTACGATCATCGAAGTTAAGCAACGCTGATCCTGGTCAGTACCTAGACGGGTAAACGCTTGGAAATATCTGGTGCTATAAGAGTGGATGTGCAGCTGAAATAATGATAATAGCCTGGAATTCTTAATCAGAGAGCCGTTTGAATTCCAGTCGGTTTCGTTATATTCGCTTACAGGCGAATATAACCTTGGGTTAAGTGTGAATCCACCTCTTGTCCCACATCTTAGTAATACTTGGGCGGGAGCTGTCCAGCCCTCACTTTCCAGTCTTGATAGAATTCAAATGCGTCTCCGAGTCCTTGCTGGGAAAGAATTATTTTCTACCGTCCAACCTCTGTCACAGGCGAGTCTCTCACTGCTCTGTCGCTACTACCACAGAAAGTGCTTGGACGAACTACATACCTTGGTTCCGCCAGCTCTAAACTTCGCGGCTAGGACCCACCATGACACTCACATAGTAGCAAAACACACACATTCTCTCTGTATTCCATCGGCAAGAAGTAAGTTCCATGCTAAAAGCTTTTATCCCACGAACCACTGCTCTGGGGGAACAGATTTTCATGATAATGTCTTCCCGATCACTACAATCTTAACCTGTTCAAGTCTAGAGTCAAACGTTATCTTCCTCTTCTATCCATATAAACTACCACGTAACCCTCTACCACGAATGGCACCCGGGCCTTGTACAGGATGTAGCTTACTGTAAAAAATATAAATAAATAGAAACAGTGTGTAATTCTTTTCGGCATGCCAGTTGTAATAACAAAGAGAGCAAGTGTAGGTTTAAGGACGCTTTATTCTGTTTAGAATAATTGATACCAGCCTATTGACTATTTATAGTCCTCTACAAACGAAAGAGTTCTCCAAAGGGAGGTAATCATAAAACAAGAGAGATTACTACCGATTACTTTATCACACTAGTCCTATGGCATGTATAAATTTGCTCACATGAAACGAATTATTTTACACTTGAGAAAAAGAAAACAGTCATTTTCGGTGCAAAATTCAATCTTTTTAAATTAAATTGAAAATTAATAACTTTGCAAGAAATTCGCTAACCCAAGACAGGACACCAAAATTATAAAACAAGCTTTCCGTCATCGTAGATTTCTTACAAGCAAACCTTGTCAACTCTTACAGTAGGGTGTCGAAAGAATCGCGATTTTGAGTTTTTTCTCCTTGTCTACCGATTCATAACTAGTGTCCCCCCCAGAGAACTCTTAAGAACTAATCTTGCTCTTTTAAAAGATTTTCTCTGCCAATAAATTACTAAATTTTCTTAACTGAAAGAGCTGCCGAGCGAAAATACTTTCAATTCCTTTCGCATGTGTTGCGAAAACCTTCCATCTTTTCGGACCACGTTTCGATTAAATTATAGCGGATTTTTCTAGAACAGATTTACCGAATCTGGAATTGTTTACCGGCGACAAATTGGCCTGAAATGGGTTAAAGTTGGTCTAAAATAAAGATTCTGTTAGAAATAACTGTTGTGAGGGCGAAGAATGATTTTTTTTTTCGAGTTAACATGTTTGGGGTTGTCAATATTTCTGAGATAAGCTATTTTATCTATTTGCACTATTTCCATTGTCCGGACTTACTATCCTCATCTTTATTATCATATCCGGAGCATAAGATGGCCGAAATGTTTGTGTATATGACAATAAAGAAGAAGAAAACAGTCCGAACGATGTAAATAGTGTAAATATTTATGTTAAATAATAGTTTAGCAGACTATTCATTTTAGAGGAAGCATATCTCGGCTCCAACTTCCGGAGGTTGACAGCTGGGGTCAGATGTGAACCATAATAGGGAAGTCGATTTTGATTGGCTGAGCTAGCATGGGAAAGATAGATAGAAGAACGCTTTCGAGGAGTTGTTTCTTAACCGTCAGAAGATATAGACGTGTTCTCTTTCGTGTCCGAAACGGTTTTCCAGTGAGTTGGGGGTGGGGGCGACGCCTACTGGATAGATAATTTACATGTCGGCATGATTAATAAAAATATTTAAGATTCTTTATGTTCGGAGTCAAACTGAAACGATTGGCGATCGCCGGCCAAGAGAAAAAGATGATATATCATTCACTGTTGTCAATATGCAATATTTGGGGTTGTTTTTTTAAAATCCTGCTTGTACTTGCTTTTGGTAAGGTTTCCTTGTTTTATTGAAGTTTGTGACCTAAAATGCCCATGTTTTAAGAATTTAGGTTGACAGGTCTGTATAAAGACTCAGGGTATAACTATCAATGTTAGGATAAAGCTATATTTGTCATTTTACACCGATGTCTTTTCCAAATTTGAAAATGCTCTTGAATCTTTGGCGTGTATATCCAGTGCAAGCTCAAACTTTCTCTAACAAATTTTTAAGGTTTACTCTTCATTAAAACCGTAGTTTGAAATAAAACTTCAAAATTGATAAGCACCTAGTTTCCTGTTACATCCATTGGACATAGAATGTGATAAGCTGGCTTTGATCTTTACCCATTGATTTTCACCATGTATTGTTTTTGGCCTTTGACGCAGAGGAATCGAGTCCACATTTCACGGTTGCCGCTTTTTTGATCGACCGAGTTGGGACTAACTCGCTTTCACATACCAACCCTTCACTGGTTGGTTTTATTCGAGGGCTTCATGCATTTTATAAAAAAAAAAATCAAATCATTAACCAGACTTCAATATTACCGCCTCATTAGGTAAGCTACTCACGACGCGTGGCTTCATGCTCGACTGTGACACTGTAGCATGAGACATACAAACACCGTTTTATGTAGTGTGTCAGTTGCCTAGACACAACAATAAACAGTATATGTATGGGCGAAAGAGGGTTGATATCTATATCATTTTAAAGGGTTTTGTTTTCTTTTTGTGGTTTATGTATTTCTGAGTCAGTAGGTGTCTCCGCATTATCTCTAAATTAATCTATTTATCTATATGAGCTCGTTTCTATCTATCTATCTATCTGTCTGTTCGCACGAATCTATCTACCTAGCTAGCTAGGTCATACATATTTATATCTATCTATCTATCTATCTATCTATCTATCTATCTATCTATCTATCTATCTATCTGTTCGTATTTACCTATCTAGATAGTTAGCTAGCTCTCTCGTTCTGTTCATATCTATCGATGCAGCTAGCTAGCTAGCTCCTACATATTTATATATTTTTATCTATCTATCTGGTTATCTCCTAATATTTATATATTCTTATCTATCTATCTATCTATCTATCTATCTATCTATCTATCTATCTATCTGTTCGTACGAATTTATCTATCTAGTTAGCTAGCTAGGTCTTACATATTTATATATTTGTAGATATCTATCTATCTGCCTGATCGTACGAATCTATCTATCTATCTATCTATCTATCTATCTATCTATCTATCTATCTGTCTGTCTGTTTGTACGAATCTATCTAGCTAGCTAGGTCATACATATTTATATATTCGTAGATATCTATCTATCTATCTATCTATCTATCTATCGATCTATCTGCCTATTCGTACGAATCTATTTAGCTAGCTAGGTCATACATATTTATATATTCCTAGATATCTATCTATCTATCTATCTGTTCGTATTTACCTATCTAGATAGTTAGCTAGCTCTCTCGTTCTGTTCATATCTATCTATGCAACTTTGCAAGTCTATCGCTATCTACACGCCGAATGTTCGGACGAGATCAATTCTTTGGTTCTACCAGTTCGGATATTTACCTCTAAGACCTTCCAATGCTATAACCACAGCCATTCCCTCAGTATTCCAATTGTAAGGTGGAAGTTCTACTCAGACATCTTTTCTTTTCCCCAGGAAACGCTGCTTTGTTGAACAGACTCCCGAGTGGATGCTTTCTCTGAATGCTACAATCTTAAAAACAAGCGTCAATAGTAACCTATCCTTCATATCCTGACAGTTTTCATTTCCTACTTTATATTCAAGTCACATGCCTCATTCAGTAACCCTCTTAAGCTTAAGTGTCTCTTGATCCTAGTATTGCGTGATTATTAGTAACATATATATATATATATATATATATATATATATATATATATATATATATGTGTGTGTGTGTGTGTGTGTGTGTGTGTGTGTGTGTGTGTGTGTGTGAAAAATTAGGAGGATTTGAGATAATTATAATTAATTCATCGAGTCTAGAAGAAACCTCAACAGAATGCAGAAAGCACTGGACGGCCATTTCGTCCTAGATTTGGGACTCATCAGCAGTGCGCATCCACTATCGAGAATTGAGACCCGGACAGTTAGGTTATCAAGCAAACGTCATACCAACTGTCCCAACGGGCCTCGGTTACGAAGAGGTAGCGAATTAGACTCGATATAGCGCCGCTCGATCACATATTCCGTGATGGAACTTATCCGAGTTTCTCTTTTACCTATAGGACTGTAACCCCACGAGAAAAAAGGTGAGGGGAATGTATAATTCACAGACACTAGAGTCTAATAATGTGAAGTCCAAGGAGACAGTCTTTTTGCTTACAATGAGACGGCTCCCTGGACCCGATGTATAGAGACTCCAGTGCCCTCAAAGGAGAGTGCGAACTAGACAGAAGAGGGAACCAGTCCGGACTGAATTTCATTGCACAATCCCTACAATTTATAAGATGTTCAGTGATAGCTAACCCGGAAGTATTGACCAGCTGGCTCTTACGTATATCCGGATTAAGAACACGTGATGGGACATGCAGCCTCATCCTATAATCCAAGCGTTGGGAAATCCTTCCTATCCAGTTGCCCCCCACATTTTTTTCGCTGCTCAAATTCGCGTTGTTTTGATTTTGGTCTTCCCTCATACCCCTAATCATGTTTTAATTGTATGTAGGGTGTCTGTGGGAGTAAATGTATCTTTGCAATAAATTATTAATCTGTTCCCAGTCGACCCTGATGATCTTGGGAACGAAACCGGTTGTCTTGTAAGTGTTTTCGTTTCTTATTTTTTATTTTCATATTTCACAATGCCTATAAGAAACAAATTATATATTTTCCTTGCAATATATATATATATATATATATATATACATATATATGTATATGTGTGCGTGTATATATATGTGTGTTCTGTGTGCGTGTGTATGTTCAAATACATTTATTTCATCTCGTTCTACTCTGTAATATCTGAAATGATTTCCTATTATTCTCCATGACTCACAACTCTTGTTCAGTCTTGGCTTTCAATTTCCAATTTATCATTTAAAGAAAAAAAATAGGCTCCTTTCTTTTCCTCTTTAGCCAAACTTCCTTCTGTTTTACTGTCAACACATTTGCTCCTCCTTTTTCTGGTTGCAACAAATTCCTCACTTCCCCCCTTCTCCTACTTACATCACTTACACACTCGCTTCCTCTCGACTGCAATCCGCTTAGGAGCGAGGGATGTAGTCGATACATTTCTCCCCAAAAGTGAAAACAGACGTGCAAACATCTGAATATATGAAGTCGTCAAAAAACAAACGTTACGATAGTTTTTTTATATGCACAAATCCCTTTCATAAAAGAATAAAATAAAAAAATAAATAAATTTCCATAGACATGCAAACTAGACGAGGGTTAATACATCTTCCGTTTCAAATTTAGACACCCCTACCTTTCCCTGACTTGACATCTACGAAGGTAACTCTATACTGATACTTATTATTAACACCCAACACTCGCCTACCCAATTTAAACAATTCGCCCTAGCTGTTACCATGGAAATTTTTTATTTCAATTTTTAAAACACGTAAATTTCAGATATACGTTATTCCAAAATAAATTTCGCTTGAAGATGAAACAGAGCTTATTATAACTCAATTTAATTTAAATAATTATATTGAAGTTTTCAGCTCTTGTTTTGAAACATGAGACTTCTTATGTAGCGTTTTGGAATCATATTTTTAAATAAATAATTATATTTATGCTCTACTTTTGTATCGAGCACTATTTTTAAAAAATAATAACTAAAATACTAAGGGACTTTGGATTATTTACCTAACTAGTTCCTCCCTATTTTCTATATATTTTCATATATATATATATATATATATATATATATATATATATATATATATATATATATATATATATATATATATATATATATATATATATAGTTGGACTGATGTGAGTTTGTGACCCTGGGTTACATGCAATTTGGGATCGTCAGACAAATATATATATATATTATATATTATGGGGACACGGTGGAGTAATGGATAGCGGCTTGGATTGAGTAATCGGAGAGCCGAGTTCGAATTCCAGTCGAATCCATTACATTCACTTACGTGCTAATACCCTTGGGAAAGGTGTGAATCTTCTTCTCTTTCCAGCTATGGGTAACTGGGTCCTATAGCCTTGGATGGCAACTGGTCTAGAAGAAGGACAACTCTGAATTCAAAACCTGTGGAGGGTCTTTTGGGGACCTTGTGGCACGTAGTGCAACAAGTCTCTGTATTCGGCCCTTCAAAAAGTGTGGATGGTCCTGCACGAAACCTTCACCACTATAATCAAATCTCATGTGCTGTTGTTGGGCTGTCGATTTCCTAGAAACGTATCTACTTGATCGTCATACGACTTCGACGGCAGAGCCGAGTATATATACACACACACATATATATATATATATATATATATATATATATATATATATATATATATACATATATATATACACACACACACACACACACACACACACATATATATATATATATATATACAGATACACGGACACATACACACATTGAAAATATGCATTAAAACCTTAGAACATCAGCAGTTCACACTATCTTGATTTCAACATTTCGGTATCTACGTTTATTAAGTTCATATGTTTATATGAACTTTTGTCTTTGTGCAATTTTTATATACACCATATATATATATATATATATATATATATATATATATATATATATATATATATATATATATATACCATGAAACACCGCAACACATGTTATATGCCAGATAATGCAACGAAAAAGATTATTGACTTAGTTGTTTGTGACAGATGTTAGAGTATACAACTCTTACTTTACATGAGATCACAGATTACAGTAAACTGACATCAGCCAACAAAATAGCTCGCTTCCACCCACATAAACCATAAAAAACAGCGAATGTCTAACATCCAAGTCCTTAATTGTTAAAGAGTACTTTTAGAACTTAGTAATGAATTAGAGAGAATAAATCTAGATCAAAACATAGTGGAATCTAATAATGTTATCATATCCTCGGTTGCTCAAGCAGCTGCGACCCTCTTAAGAAACCCTAAAAGGAAAAACATACACCCAAGAGACGACAAAATTCAGCTGAAAAAATACAAACAAGAAAGAAAGAGAAAAGGTAAAAATGGAAGGGAGAATATCAAACAAGTAACAAAGAAATTTAAACAAAATATAGTTAACTTTTTGAGAAACAAATATCTCAGAAAAATGGGAAATAAGATTAATGATATGTGTCTATATTTCTGAGATGAGGTATTATGTACACTATTTACATTATTCGGACTATTGTCCTCATGTTTGTTGCCATATTTATTACAACGTTTCGGCCTTTCAGTATCTGTCTATATTTCTGAGATGAGGTATTATGTACATTATTTACATTATTCTGACTATTGTCCTCATCTTTGTCGCCATATTTATTACAACGTTTCGGCCTTTCAGTATCTGTCTATATTTCTGAGATGACGTATTATATACATTATTTATATTATTCGGACTATTGTCCTCATCTTTGTCCCCATATTTATTACAACGTTTCGGCCTTTCAGTATCTGTCTATATTTCTGAGATGAGGTATTATGTACATTATTTACATTATTCGGACTATTGTCCTCATCTTTGTCCCCATATTTATTACAACGTTTCGGCCTTTCAGTATCTGTCTATATTTCTGAGATGACGTATTATATACATTATTTATATTATTCGGACTATTGTCCTCATCTTTGTCCCCATATTTATTACAACGTTTCGGCATTTCAGTATCTGTCTATATTTCTGAGATGACGTATTATATACATTATTTATATTATTCGGACTATTGTCCTCATCTTTGTCCCCATATTTATTACAACGTGTCGGCCTTTCAGTATCTGTCTATATTTCTGAGATGAGGTATTATGTACACTATTTACATTATTCGGACTATTGTCCTCATGTTTGTTGCCATATTTATTACAACGTTTCGGCCTTTCAGTATCTGTCTATATTTCTGAGATGAGGTATTATCTACACTATTTACATTATTCGGACTATTGTCCTCATGTTTGTTGCCATATTTATTACAACGTTTCGGCCTTTCAGTATCTGTCTATAATTCTGAGATGAGGTATTATGTACACTGCCTTTGGGTCCTGTCACTGGATTTAACTAACGCCTTTATCTATTGTGCCATGAGAACATCTGTGTATGAAATATTGGGTATTATAAACCCAATGTCTGCAATCATTTTTTAACAGTGCTCTTATTGCAATTTTTGCTGTTATCATTTCATGTTTTTACCAGATCTCATGTTGCAATTTTTGTTGTTATTATCGCTTTTCTCTGGCACTCCTTTGAGAGGGAATTTAACAGGAGATAACTGATAACTGACATCCATTAGACATGGCACGTGGACCTAGAACATTCTACCCCAGTGATTGAAATAAAGGGTTCAGTTCGACATTCGAACCACCTGAAGAAGGCCGGAGCGTAGAAGGGCCGAAACCTTGTGATAAATATGGTGACAAAGATGAAGACAATAGTCCGAATAATGGTAATAGTGAAAATGAATGATGCCAAACAGCACAAAAATGTGGAGAAAAGAGAAAAAATTGATAATATAATCATATCCTCCACAGAAGACATATGCCTCTCACAAAAATTACTTTGAATCATATTTCAATTCTGACCAGATTAACGTTAAGAAGCCCACAGGAACAGAATATATACCAATATTTATCCAACCATTACAAAGCCCGTCTCCAAACATAAACAATAACGAAACTAGTGATGAGGAAATGAAGAACGCTATTAAAAATATAAGCAATAATAAAGCATCACTCGACACTGAACTCTTCAAAATATCCTAATTTCACCTTAAATTCAATAACAAGTTCTTCTATTTTACGAAAGACGTGTGAAATCAGAAATACACCCCTCCTCAAAGTGAGATCTGTCGCGCATTAAGGCATTAGGGAAATAGAAATGTAACCCTCCAGACCCTCTCACACATACACAGGTATCTCAATTGGATCCAACATGGTGAATATGTTAATGAACCTTATATAAACTTGGCCCTCATCGTTTTATGAAAGTCAACTCCCTGAAACCCAGTTTGGTTTTCGTTCTGGTAACGGAAGCAATAATGGCAGATAATGTTATCAAACCAAAACCAAGAAATTGCTTAAATCTCTAATAGGAAACATACTTAACTTTTCGAACTCATAGCCGCTTATGGTTACATCAAGAGACTTCCTTTTCTCATCCATTAGAAACTATTTTTAAAGCTCCAAATCTACTGAATGCATCGAACTAAGAGAGGAACTGTATCGATCTACAGAATCTTACATATCTGGCGTGGACCCCAATACAGAAGCCTTTCAAGCCTCATCAGTACAGCAAAAAGGCAATGAGAAACTTAGTCTATTTTATCTCTTGATAGCTTATGCCCTGCGGATTTACAAACACAAATGTGATGGGAGATGGGCATTTCATACCGCATTCCAAACGAGTCTACCAGTAGAAGTTTCTGCTTTCCCTCCCCGCTTTTAATGTACTGCTTAGAATGTGGCTATGTTGATGGCATAGGTATTCATAGTTGGGATAATAATGATCTTGAACAGAAACTCAGCATCCTCTATCAAGTGTTCAAAGAAATGTGACTAAAGATAAACCTTTTCAAATAAGAAACTATGATCTGGAATTGGAATTAAAACAGTGAAGGCGCCTACCCTGAATCCATCATAAAAATATCAGGTGTATAATTTGTAAATACTAATCGCTTCAGATATATCGGCGTAGACTCCAGTTATAGCAAATTAAGTATAGGAGAAAAATAAATTGAACAGAGTGGGTAAATTTTGTATTGATTTGACCCTTTTTAAAATGAATTTTAGAGACTTTCATTTCTTATCTATTTGAAACTGCCTTCCAAAACGTGTAATCCACTGAATGCATTGATCTTATAGAGGAACTGTATCGATCTACAAAATCTTAAATGTCTGGTGAGGATCCTAGTACAGAAACTTGTATAAGAACGTCATCAGTAGTACAACAACAATGAAATGTGAAACCAGTTTATTTAATCTCTTCCTAGATTATATCCTGTGCGTTTGCAAAGACAGATGTGATGAAAAGGCATTGACCATTTAAGCATTCCATACCACATCCAAAACAAGTTTATCATTAGAAGACAATGATCCTGATTCCAAACGTACTGATGATGATCTATGCTGATGACA